TTTTGGAAAAAAAAAAAAAAAAAAAAGGAGAAATGCCAACTTAGATAATAAAGAACCCAAGATCCAGATCAAATAAGCAGAACAAGCAACTAAAATAAATACAGGGGGAAAAATCCAGGGGCAGAGAAGATCAAAATTTATAGCTTAGAAAAAATGAGAAGAAATTATCTGAAACAAATGCTGCTGGAAATCGGAAGGGTGGTTAATATGCTACTAAGAAACACCTCTGCATAAAAGTGACAGTGAATGCATATTAAGACAATGTGTCAGAGAAGTCTGGGCAGCAGTTTAACTCCCACAGTCTCAAACAGATCAATGCTGCCAAGTTCTTGTTTCTCCTCCTCTAAGAGGAGCCTACCTCAGATATATGAGCTCATATAGGGGGATGGCCAAATGGAAATTTTCAGATAGTGAGTCTTACCATGAAACAGACTGGACAAGACTGAGACTGGGCAGAGTCCCATAAATGAAGTAAAAAGACTTTGGTCTGCTGAACTGGGACAAGATAGACTTGCAGGAGTAGGTAGAAGGAGGAAGGACAAAGTCATGGACAGCAAGCAGAATATTCTTGCACACATGAACTTGCCCTGTTCCAAATCCTGGAATGGATTAGGGATGCTTCATTTTAATATTTCCCCTTACAGTAATATATATCTGCAGATTAAAGGCCAAAAGCACAGAAGATGGGACTCCATCACTACTGGTAGTCAGCACAGTAGTTAAAACAACAGCACTCTGTATGGTTAATCACCCATCTGGCCAGAAGGAGAAAGTAAACACACTGCAATCACTCATTTAGTCCACAATTTGCTCTGTTTTTTAAAAAAAGTTGGACACATAACTAAGGACTGTATCATCAAGAGCATGAAAGCCAAAATCAGGATGTGATTTCTCAACCTCCTAAAATTCTTTCAATGTAATTTTTGTGTTGTGAAGGCCAGAATTTATGTCCTTTATTATTGCTTTATGGAAGACAGTTGGAACAAATGTTAAGTATTTATTATCCTTCTTTTGAGGTGACACTTTCAAAAGCTTCTAAGAAATTGTTAAATAAGAAAAATCTCTCCTTGAACTGATTTGTACCAGCTTAGGTTGACTGATTTTTCAGAGGCGGCAGTAGATTTCAGCAACATGAAAAGCTTGACTGGTGATGCCAAATAAAAATTATTTTTAAAACCCACAAGCTGCTTGTTCTAAAGTTTTCATTTTGTGCCCAACAAGTTGATCTCTGTCCTTCAAGGTAGTAAAATTCTGTGACAAGCCAAGAACACATAGTTCTTGTCTCTTTTTTTGTTTTTCTTAATGAGAAGCCAAGGAAACACACATGACTGAGAGGAAACCTGCAGGCTTGCAAGCAGGAAGAAGCAAACTCCCTTCTTTCAGTATCACAAAATGTTTTTTACAATGACTGTGGACTAAAAAGCCTCTACAAAGCCTCTAGAAAGAACTATAACTTTATGAAGGATTAAGAAAAATGCAGAACTGCTGAAAGTGAAAAAATAAGATAAATATATACAAAAATATATATATTTTTAATGAGATGGCAGAAAAAATGAAATTATACTTAAAATAAGGGGGAAATAAGCTTTTGCAAATAGAATAAAGAAGGTGACTAGAAACTGAAAATAAGCACAAGATTAAATGGACATGACAGAAATTAGTGATTCAGTAGTAGTAAAGATACTGGTTCGTATTCATTTAGAAAAGAATTTCCATAAAGGTTGGACAACTTAGGAGTAACAAAAGGTTTATAGAAATAGCTGTTCCTAAAAAGCAGTCAAAGAAACATTTGAAAAATGTGCAGAGTTGGAAGTCCCTCAGCCAGCCCAGCTGCTATGCATCCTAGGGGATAAAAGGTATTTGCTGTGAAACTTCCTGTAGCGCTGTCAATGAAGCTGAAAAGAGGGACAAATACTGGAAGACTGAAAAAAAATCAAATATGACCTCTTTTTTTTTCAATGAAAGCATAGAATGCCCTTTGTAACTGCAATCCATACTTGACCTCTATGTATCTTATTCTGGCAATGTTGTATAGCAAGAGTATGCTGTGTTCCAGAGACAAGGATTAAATCGCTTTTGCTTAGAATTTTGAGTTAGTTCATGAAGGTGTTATGCTGACAATGAAGAGATGCTTTGTAAAAATAAACTTTTGAATGAAGACTGCAGCTCACAGAGAGACCATTCAAGGCAGTGAGTAGAGCAGGAGCCCTGCACAGACAAACATGCTCTTAACACCTGATGATCTTTGCCACAGATACACTGTTGGCTTTCTAGATGGTTTAGCACATGTTCTCATAAAAGTCTTTATTTGTGTGTTTGTTTTGTAATATGTCTCTTATGTAATACAAGAGTTTCAGTTTCATAATGCAGAAGACTTGCACATTGGGACTTTGCTTCTTGCAGATGATTGTGCCAGGGTACAGTCTGCACAGGACCTTCTGGGAGTGGCACACGTGCAGCTGTGTCTAGCAGAGCTGCAGCACTGAGATTGAGCAAATTGCTCTTGAATCAGAGGACAGACCATTGGTTTTAATGAAAATTGCAATCTGGATTTGTTTTAAACCATCCTATAGGTATCTGCAGAGTGTATGGGGATGGCGTGCATGGGAGATTGGACTACAAAGAATTTTTTGTCATTTTAATCTCAGGAAATTTAACATAGTCCTTTAGTACCTCCTGAGGCAGTTCTCGCTATTTTCTCTCTTTCATTTCAAATAATTAATTTGAATACCTTATCTGTATGCCACTCAGTAAGCAAGAAAACTATATTCTCTTTTTCCAGCTAGGCAGTGAGGAAAGGAAGCCTTAATGTTTTTTGCAGGGTTTCTCAGAGAACCCCAGCCAGCCTGTTCTGCGCAGACTGACATTTAACATGGAGGCTTCTGTTAGAGGCAACCCATATAGGAAAAGGATCCTGGTGTGGAAAAGCTGAGTGTCACTGAGCTACTTGCAGTCTTTTCTGGAATTTTTTTTATTTTCCTTGTCTGCTCTTTATAATATAGATTTAAAGTTGTGTTTGTTGTTGTTTTCTTTTGCCATTACTGGCAGTCTGTAATTTCTACATCCCTTGTCTTCAGTGTACTCCACTACACAAGAGAGTTATAAATACGTCTAAATTTATTTGGTCAACTTCTGTGTTTATACAGTTCCCATTGCAGTAAGGTCACTGAACTAGAGAACTGACTCTCCAACTGGTTCTCAAACCCTTGTAGCATCTCACTGTCATTCTTGGCACGTGAAGCATGACCTCTTGTCCCACAGTGGCCAGGCATATTACCAAGAGGTTTTATCATAGTCACTTAATCCGCATTTAATTAGTAATATTTTTTTTCACAGCAGTGCATCTGCATGGCAGTTTTATTTTTCATTTCCATTAATAGCTCTGTGGTGTACAGATAAAAGTGAGAAATCAAAGGTTCGTTTAAATGCTTACATTTCTGGAAAACTATAACATGGGGGAAAAAAATATCCTGAAAAGTGTACTCAGATTTTATGTACACCTATTCCCCAACTGAATTTAAAAAATCATGGGAACCAGCTTCAGTCACTATGAAGTATCATGTGTTGAAACCTCATCACATCGACACATCACCAGCTAAGTATAGAGTAAACTTCTGGATGCAATCAAGTGACCCATGGCCTTGGCAAAGATCTCACTTGAAGCCTCATGGGGAAATAATTTCTGGCTCTTAATTTAAGACAAAGCCAAAGGAATTGAGCCCTTCAAGTGCTACAGTTAAAACCCAGAAATCCCACTTTGATTTGAATAGTGAGCTTCTCAGTTGCTAGCAGGTATGTGTGTAAGAGTTAGTGAGGCACAGATTTCCTGCTATTTTGCCCCTAATGTGGAAAAATCAATCACCCTCTTTAAACATCAGACTTCAGATAAAACATGCAGTGCTCAGTCCTTATGAAAAGGCTCTCTTTTTCCAAGACTTTGATAAGAAGAGGAAGTTAAACAGAATTTTAACCTTTTTTGTGAGTACTTTTGAAGTGAGTGAGGACCTGATTTTCATTTGCATCAAGGCTTCTGCATTAAGCTTAAAGAACCTTAAATGGGCATAAGCTGTAATTAGGACCAA